TCATGTCTGCATCTTGTACAGCAAATAACTACTAGGAAGAATGTATGCAATGTGTTAATTACTGAAACTGTCCTACCAGTTTGATTGGAAACTGTCTCGTTGCTATTTGTTTCTCAATAAAATTAAGGAAAAATAATAATAAAATATTTTAAGAAAGGAGTGTGCAGCTGAGAAGACAGGTGGGGAGGTGCTTGAGCTTGACAGGGTGATCTTGTACTTCAGGAAGAGACGCACTTAGGCAAAGGAGACAGAAGCCAGACAGTATGAGGGTAAGAGGCCTGAGTCTGAAGTTAGGTCACCATGTGTGAATCCTGGCTCTGCGCTCTACTTGCTGGGCATCTTGGAATAATTTGCTTAACTTCTCTGTGTCGTAGCTTCATCTTGCATAAAATGGAGATGCTACAATAATCACACAGCATCTCGCTTGCGGTGTTGTTATAGGGGTTGAGTATGTATTTCACTTAAGAAATCATCTGATGAGGCTGAAAACAGGAGGATTGTTACGAGTCTGAGCTGTGTAGTGAGACCCTGTACCAAATACATAAATGGAAAAGAAGAAGAAGAAATCATCTGGCAGGTAGAAGGTAGAGGGTGAATTTTAGCTATGCTTGTACAGGAAAAATGCTGACTTTAGAAATTAAGCATTCAAATTCTCTGGGCACGTATGTTCTAGTGATTACTTTAAATATCTTGCCTGTATTTCCCTTTTAGTTATTCTAATGCTGGGCTGAGACTGTAGCACAGTAGTAGAGTGCTTGCCCGGTGTGCGCAAGGCCCTGGGTTCAGTCCCCAGCGTGGGTGTGGGATTAGGGGGCACAAGCGATCCTCGTGCCAGGTGTGAAAGCGCACACCTGTGCTCGCGGCACTCTGAGAAGCTGAGGCAAGATGATTGTGAGTTAAAGCTTAGCTGGGGCAACTTAGCAAGACCTCATCCCAAAATAAAAAAGAGCAAGGGATACAGTTCAGTGTAAAAGTCCTGGTACCACAAGAAAAAAGTTATCCTAGCAACCATTCCTATTTTACAGATGAAGAAACAAAGGCTTAGAAAATAAATAAGTAGCCTCTTCAGAGAGATAAATGCTTTTTTTTTTTTTTTTTTTGACAAGATCTGTCTTTTTACTTTATTTTTCTTGCATTTCTGAGACAAAATACCTGACATCCAAAATGAAGGAAGGAAAGGTTTATTTAGCTCACAATGGAGGTTTCAGTCCATACTCAGCTGGCTCCAAGACAGAGCAGCACATGGCAGAGAGCAGCCGTGGTGGGAAACAGCAAACGGCCAAAAGGGAGGAGCAGTGGCCGCTGAGAGGCAGAGGCAGAGAGCAAGGAGAGTAAGGCCTCTCTCCCTTACTGAAATTGCATGCGGGCTCTCTGCCGCAGGCTGGGTGCAGCGCTCACATCCGTAATCCCATCGCTGGATCATGAGTTAATCACAAGCTCTAGAAGCCGCCGCATGACTGCATGAGGCTTTGGGGACAATGCCTTGGCACAAACCATAACAGAGCCTCACCATGCAGGTCAGGCTGGCCTTGAACCACTTTGTATTCAGTCTGGCCTCGAACTCACAGAAATCCTCTTGTCTCAGCCTCCTGAGTGCTGGGATTATAGGCATGTGCCATCCCACCTGGCTATAAATGCAAATTTTATGACATTAAATACAATTTTTTATGACATTAAAGCCCATTTTGAGGCCAGGGAAATAGCTCAGTAGATAGATAGGTGCTGAGTTCAGTCCCCGAAAAAGAAAAAAAAAAAAAAAAAAAAGAAAGAAAGAAAGAAAGAAAGAAAAAGAAAAAAAAAGGTAAAAGCACTTTTTTTTTTTGTGGTACTGGGGATTGAACTCGGGACCTCACCCTTTCTAGGCAGGAACTTATGCCGCTGAACTATATTCCTGGCCCCTTAAAGCACATTTTTAATCATTACAAAATACCATGGTATGCATGGAAATCACTCTGTACACAATTTTCCTGAGCACAGCCTATTTCCAAGCATAAATATCTCCGCCCTTGAATGAGTGCACTGAGCCTAGCATCTCTAACAAGTGTGCGCCGATAAAGGGCATAAGCAATTTTCTTTTTGTGTTCACAAAGCTATCAAATAGAATTTAATGTCTACTTATTTGTTTGCCTTGATTGAATCCAGGACCTTTGCAGTGAGCCACATCCTCAGCCTACTTTGAACTTTGAGACAAGGTCCCACTAAACTGCCCAGACTGGGCTTGAACTTGCGATTCTTCTTCCTCAGTCTCTCGGAGCTTGGGAATCTCCAGGTTTCAACTGCAGGCATGTGACACTACACTTAGCTTCTATTCATTTCTAAATATTTATGATTTCTCATTTGTGTAACATTTCTTTAAAAACATCAATGCAAGCCAAATATGGTGGTGCACGCTTATAATCCCAGCACTCGGTAGGCTGAGGCAGGAGGATCACTGAAGTTCGAGACCAGTCTGGGCTACAGAATGAGTTCAAGTCCAGCCTGAACTGCATAATGAGACCCTCCCTCAAAAAAACACAAAAAAATCAATGCCAGAAAATTAGTAAGTCAAAATAATATTATCCATTGTCATTTTATTCAACTCCCAATTACTAGCAGGTGGTGACAGATTTCTTTACGCTGTGTTCAGTCTCAGCCCGCTGGCTGCGTAGATAGCTGGCTTGAGCTCAGTTCTGTTCTCTATGGTAGCAGGATCCTAACCAGGAAAGGAGGAAAGAATCTGTGTAGCATCTGTCTTGACTTCCACTTTCAGAATCCACTCAATTCTCATGAAAACCCCTTAGGAGGGAAGGGCATTTCATCTCCATTTCTCCTGCTCCCACAGCTGAGGGCAGAGCTGAGATTCAAACAGGATGCCGTCTCTGAGCCCTGCACTCTTGCACGGCACCTCTGGCGCTGCCACCTCTCCCCTCTTCCACCCGTTGTGCACAGGGCCTGGCAAGGCCTAGTGCTGCCCTTGGCTCCAGCCACAAGTCTTCCTGGGAACAAGGCCCCCGAGCCCCCCTCCCAGGGCTGTGGGGAGGTTGTTGTCTCCCCAAATTACATTAGTGGATTTCATTTGCTCATACCAAGGTTCTCTCCTTCAAGCAAAAATAGCTGAGAGCTCATCGTTCTCAGAGATAAAGTAAAGCCATTTTTTATTGGAAGAGCTTGAAATGTGTAGAGCAGGGGCTGGGGATGGAGCTCCAGGGAATTGTGTGCCTGGTGGAGTGGATTTGGTCTCCAGTCCTGCAAAAATAAAGTATGTACAATAGTTGATGTCATCTAGGGACACCAGAGACTATGCCATGTGCTATGTTAGTGTTTTGATAAAATGGAGAACAAAATCTGTTCTTTAGTATAGTAAATAGGTCTTACTTAAAAAAAAAAAAAAAAGAAGACAACAGGGCTGGCCAGATAGCTCAGTGGATTAAAGCATCTGTTTAGAGAGACACAAGGACTGGGGTTCAATCCCCGTGTGCTGTGCCAGCCCCGTCCCTGGGGTGCACTGGGACAGCGATTGAGACTGGGCATGGTGCTGCACACCTGTAATCCCAGCGCTTGGGAGGCTGAAAACAGGAGGATCACTATGAGTCCGATCTGTGTAGTGAGACCCTGTAGACCCTGTATTAAATACAAAAGAAAAAAGGACAACAGAAAAAATTATACAGAATAAATTGGTTGATCTCTATTATGGAAGACTCTGTTATAAGAAAAATTTCTGAATAATAAGAAATGAATAAGCCTAAGACTCAGTGATTCAAATGTGTGGAAGTCTTTATCTTTGGGAAAACCTTTCTGTTTGTGTGGAAGAAGGCTCTGGCTAATGAAAAGACTTGTAGAAGTTTGCAGCCTTCTGACTTCAGGGCTTTCTGAGTTTTTGGTCGGTCTGGGTCAAGGACAGTTCGATGCGTGCGAGTTCCAGCATATCATTGAGCATAGGTCCGGGCTAAGTACGTAGCCCTTCGAGGCTTCAGGCCTCTGAGTAATGTCGCCCATGGTGAGAATTCTTAGGAGCATTGTTTGATCCCTTTAGAAAAATGTACCTCAAGTTTAAATTTAAATCAAGATTTCTTTTCTTAATATTCTTTCCTTTTTTTTTTTAATTTCCAGATAATGAAACACCAAACCGTGAGTTTATGGTCCCTTATGCTTTGTCTGCACGTGTAGACCAGTGGGTAGAGGAGAAGAAATTGAGAGACAGTCACCCATGAGCTAAGAATCCTCTCACTGTACAAGTCCAGCCCCCACTGTAGAAAGCTTGCGAATGAGCGGTCTTGGGAGGTCCTCTTTCCCCCCAGCTTCCCTTTTCTGAGTCCCTGTGTTCCTGCCTGAACCCTGAGGGCAACTTTTGGAAGGTTCTCTGCCCCCCACCTCTCACACTTCCCTTTTCCCCACCCGCTAGCCAGGAAGCTTCCCTTCTGAGAAGCAAGTCTAAAACCCAGGTGACAAGTGACTTTCTGTGTGTGGTTAGTTCTTTGGTCACTCATTTGCCATTTTCAGAAGTGTTCTGGGTTTCACCCTCCAGTGTCCCATCTCTTCGCTTCCATCCCTTAGAATACAAAGTCTCCATCTCAGGAACCAGGGTGGTGGTGACGTGCTTTCTGGACCCTTCAACGGAATCAATAAAATGGGAAAAAAAATATGGAGACCTAGCTGGTGAAAATGATGAACAACTAATAATGGAGAACTTTTCAGAATTGGAGCACAGTGGGCATTATGCCTGCTATAAGAGTGGCTCAGAAAAGAACTATTATCTCTACCTAAAAGCTCGAGGTAAGAGGATTGTTTCAAATGGCCATTCTCGCTGATTTCCCCAGCCTCCCTGCAGTCTCCTGGCACCTCAAGGCTTCCTCCCGCACTCAGTCTTGATACTTTTTTTTTTTTTTTTTTTTTTTTTTT